TCAGCTCTTTGTTAAATTCGGTTTGGAGGTGAAGGACCGCAAAGGTTCAAGCCCCTTGTTTTGTCTAAATGATATCTTGCTTTACCAATTACTTCTGGAAGCTTGACCTGACTCTCCACAATGTTTTGCCAAGTTATTATTTCTTTCTAAATAGTGAGCCGGGAGGAAGGAAGAGGAGCACATCACCCTTTGGCGAATCCCGCTCCCCATTGGGGTCCACAGCTCAGTCCTTTGTTTCCCCAGCACCGCAGCCCAGCGCCTGCTCTTTATAATCCTTTCATGCGGGACCCAGGACTCTGCTCCTCCCAGCAAAGTGTATTCAACTGTCACCATTGTCCCTACAGATCCATTAACTCAGTTCCTCCAAATCCCTAACTGCCCAAAGCAGCCCCCTCCCTCTCTCTCTCTCCTTCTCTCTCCTTTTTTCACTCTCTTGATCTCTCTCTTCCCCACCCCCCTGCCTTTGGTAGCAGAAGAAATGGCTAAAGACCCACCATAAATAGATAGAATTAATGATTGACATAACTGAGGTGAACACATTCATGCAACCTAGGTCTCTAGCTCTGTGTGCACTACCAACCTTTCTCTTCCATTTATTGCACAGGCGCTAAGCCAGGTGCTTAGTGCGTTTTCTGCATAACATCCCCAAGGAATGTATTCCTGTCTCCACTTTACAGAACAGGGAGCTGAGTGGTTAAGTCACCGGTCCACAGCCACACAGTTAGTGAGAGGCGGTCCCTGGATTAGAACACCAGTCTGTCTCAACCCAAAGACTACTTTCCTGCTTCCAAAATCAAATTTGAAATTATATAACATGGAAGGGCAACTAATAGATATAATTTCTACCATAGTTAGAGAAAACTGAAATAGATAAGGATTTTTCATATAGTACACAAACTTAATCTGGGGCAATAATTTTACATTCTGCTTAAGTGGCATTTTTCCAAAGCTGCTCCAAAATATAACCAAGTTTCATCATTTGTTTTCTTTCCTCTCATAGGTGGAACCAGAGGGAAAAGTGCCTGGGCTGTTTGAATGTCCCTGTGAGCTTGTCAACACACATTTATGAGTGTCTCCTGTGGGGCACAAATGTGGACTAGGCCAGTCCATGTTTTAGGAGTCTTCACTCTACCTGAGGAGTCAAGGGATAAAGAGGCAAAGTAGAAAGTAGGACAAAAAACAAGGCGATTGTACTAAGTGGAACCCATAAATAACTAACGGTCAGCTTCAAGGTAAGGAAAACATCATCAGGAGATGTAGTAGTCAGGGAAGGCTTCTTGGAGGAGGTGGAACTAAAGCTGAAACTTTGAAGGATGTGTATGTAGAAGTGATGAGAATTAGAAAGAACCATGTACATGAGGGTAAATTCTTATTTTGCAGACAACCAGATAGAAAACTAGAGTGGCTAAGTGTTAGAGAAGAGACCAGGAAGGGGGGATTGCTGTTGCTATAGGAATTTGGTGGGAGATACGGTCAAAAAGTTGGGGCCAGGCCATCAGACTGAGAAATTTATACTTCATCCTGTGGGTACTGAGGTCCATGAGGGACTTCTCAGCTGGGAAATGCTTTGATGGAAGAAGTGTTTTGAGAAGTTCAGTCTGCCATGGTGGACCGAAGAGGGAAACGGAGGCAGTGGACCAGTTAGGAGGCTGTTGTAATGAGCCACGTGTGATATGCTTATTGCACTGGAACGGTAGCTGTGGGCCAGATGTGGGAGGTGTTTGAAAGGAAGACTCACAGAATTTGATGACAGATTAGCTATGGGGGTGAGAAGGGGGAAAAAAAAGCTACCAGGCTAATTCTCGTTCCCAGCATATTGAGATAGAACTGAAAATATTTTAAATAGAAAACCTATCAGGACCAGCTTTTTCCAAAATATATCTTCTTTCAAATACCACTTCCCCCCATGGATCTAACCTGAAGTAGGTAAGTTTACCTTATGACCCAAATCTTAATTTCATATATGAGCCTCTTTTTTTTCTCTCAAAGTCAATCATTATAATAAAAATAAGAATCTATTTAAAATCAGCTTCTTAAAAATTTTAATCCCCTTAAGTTTGCTCTGTGCTCTCCACACAAAAATATTGCACAGGGGAAAAAGGACCAGATGTCTGACCTGACCCACTGGTTGGCCCCATCCACATGGCAGTGGCTGGGGAAAGCTCAATACTCAGTCTCAGAAATTCGTTTCACGGATCTTTAAAAAATAAAGCATTTTATCTAAAACACGAAAGAGCCAAGCTCCTATCCATTCTCATAGATATACAGGTATACTTAAGAAAAAAATGCAGTGTCACATTTGCCACTATCTCTCCTATTACAATGGAGAAGACTACAACAATGTTCCTGAAATCACATAAATTTCCTTAGAAAGAAACTTAGTAGAAGCCTTTTAGTTCTTTGACGAAGGCCCCTATTCATAGTTTACCT